ACGAACAAAGCGAAAGCTGCTGAATCTCGCAAGGTGTGAAAATAATTACCAGCTACTTTATTTTCCCATTGGTCGGTCGCGTCTCCTTCGAAGCGCAGGAAAGACTGGAAGAAAATCCGGTCGAGTAACGAGCAGCGCTCCAGGCTACGAGATCGACTCGAGACAAACTCTTACTCTGGAAGCGGCGTTTTATTATTGCGAAAAGTTATTTCAAGGTTCGTCATTCTTTCCGGGTTTCGTAGTAGCGAGATAAAGCGATTCCGAGGAAACGAAGTTTCTTGCTCCCTCCAAGGAGGCTTCTGCGACCTAAGCAACTTCACCAATTGACAGAGCACCTGCCAACTACCAAGAAACGTTATTTCAAAGTAATACTATACTTCCCGATCGGGCAGACCATTGAAAGTTTCATCGAATCGGATTGTCGAATATAAAATTAGCGCGATAATGAGAAATCGCTGGCGCACGCGAAATGGTTTTTCTAGAAAAAGTTAGCGACGGAACTGCTTTTTACTACAAACCACGATGATCGACTTCGGCAACGTCCCCATAAACGGATTTACAATTTACTTGCTCGGAGATCGAATTACGTAAATATCAATTTGCTACCATTTGACTTCGTGTTTTCGACTTTGTCGTTCGCTTTGGCAACACTGAAAAGTTTCCACGCGCGAGAATTATAAAAAGAAAAACAGTGCATCTCGGAGGAATTACGAAGGAAGATTCTACCGTTTTTATAACGGATGCCGAGAAAATGAGACGAACTCCTTGCAGTTTCAATTTCGCTAATCCCCGTAAACGATCTTTTTCCCTCTCAACTACGCGCGAATGAAAATCATTCTTCACCGTAGATTTACTCTTTCCGTGAGCAATCGAGCGAGCAAACCCAAGACGAAACGAATCATCCCCTGTTTTGTAAATGAATTTTCTTTACGATCATTTGAACGCTCAAAAATTATAACAAATCGTTCTGCCACAAAACGGCAGTCACGATCGGTTTCCTTAAACTCGCAGAGAAAGGAGGATAGTCCAATTTATCATCCAGATAAAGGAATCACAATGGTTCCTCCGTCGACCGAGTTCGATAGCATCCACCGAAACCTACAAAACTCGGCGGCGACGAAGCGAGACAATAAGATAAGATTTCCAAAAGTTTTACGTTTGGCCGGGATGCCCGTGTGAAAAGAAATAGCCACCAACAGAATTGTGCGGAGACACGGAGACGCACGCGACCAATAAATACAAAGGCTGCGATTAGAAGAAGTCTTTCTTCTGTATAAAATAAGTTACAATTTCTTGCCGAAAGTCACATTTTCGTGCTTTTCTCTTCTCTTCTTCCCTCTCTTTTTTTTTCTTCTAATTCAACCGCCCTTAATTTTGTTCGCACGAGAAAATAAATTCCAATTTTTTTAACGTTGAAAATCGAGGTTAACGATAATTGAAATTTTTATAACGAACCAATAGTTGAACTTTAGCGAATACAGACGAATGATTTCATTAATACAGAACTACGAGAAAACTTGCTGATCAAAGCTCAGTTTTCAATTCCCATTTGTGATGGTTCTGAGTATCGGGAAATCCAAGCTTTTCGCAACGCGTAGTTTTCATTGAAATAAAAAATGAAATCAAATCGATTTTCCCCCTTACGAATCTTATCAACCGTACCGATTTTTTAACATCGTAGTAGCTTTGCGATTACCTATGTTATGCACTCCACGATCCCGTATTTTAGCGAAATTTTCCAAGTACATATTTTTTTCTTCTTCTTTTTTTTTTGGTTTCTCTCGTTTTATCATGCTAATGAAAAGGGGCGAAGGTTTTTTGCAAAGAGCTATTCTATTATCCGTCGGATGAATTTTACTTGCATTGTTTAGAGCCAGTTAGCTCGGTGTACGTAAAAATAACGACATACATAAAATGCATCGGATTTTACTACAGCTATTAGCATAAATTATATTGCAACGTCGTTGTTGTAAAATCGTACATTCTTACTAGTGAATTTGGACAGCGAAATGTCGCTGATAACTTTCCGAGCTCGTTTGTATCAATCGTTGAAACGCGTAAATGAGATAACCGGCCGTAATTAACAAGCAGGGTTGTCGATATAATATTTCGCTTTAATTGTAATTAAAGCCAGTCGCGTAAAACGAATTCGACTGTGAATTTAATCAAATCTTGATCATGAATGTGTCAATGAACCCACAAAGCGATCGAATTAACGGAACGGAATGATCGACGAAATCGGTTAAGTGAGATTTTATAGCAAAAACAAGAGCCATGCGAAAAGTGTTACTAGGTCGTCGATTTACTGACACTAGAAATAATTTTTCCGGATTTATGATAAAAATATCGTTCACATCCAAGAAGTCGAGAGTGGAGGAAAAATATGTTCGCAGGCTTGAAACAATATATAGGATGCAATTTATTTCACGAGGAAATACTTTTGAGAAATGATAATTGGTGGTAAAAACAGAAAAGACAAACTCCACGAGAAAGCTCACTACTCTCGGCGGAGTCATTTTATAGCCGAGGATATGAGCGGTTTAATTTCAGTTATTTTCAACGAATTAATACGTTGCTACCCAACGCATTAGCATTAGCGTGAAGTTGCGTATCTCTACACTTGCTGATCGTTGCATTCTCGCAATTAAAGCGAAACATCTGCGAACAAATCCCAATCGGAAGATCGGGGAAATAGCCATAAATAATAACGAGGTAACTGTATCCTTAGAGAGCGTTCTGAATGAAAAAATTGTTAGAGCACCGCCTGTACTTGCCACTTCTCTCAACACGTGGAAACATTTCCCGCGATCTTTAGCAGCTTACCCGAAACTTTCACGGTTCAACTTTACACAGTACCAGGCAAACATTTAATTTACTGGATTAAACTTTGCGCGGATTATACCGTGAACAAAGTCTGGCCGTGGCCGGGTACAGTATCGAGCCAAATTACCGAAGTCGTTCGTCTAGAACGTAGGAACCTCTAAGCGACAATGTAAACGGAGTATGAGACGCGGAATAGAAATCATCGCGCGAATTCACGCTTGAGAGAAATAGTCAGGTTCGATTTTGAAAAGGATCGCGCGCGTGTTCTATGTGCATAATACGTTTCTGAAGCGCGCCGCGTCGCGCCACTTTGCGTAATTAGTTTACGTGATCGATATTAACAGGACTCGTGTAGTCGACGACGACCGTGTTGCGTTTCACGCCGGAAAGAAAAGGCTATCTCTCTCGTAGCGTATCATTCCCAAGGCAGGGCCACAGACTTATGAATAATGCATACGATAAATTCGCGTCGCACGCACGCACGCACGCCGGTAATTCCATTAGCTGTACCATTTTGCCGCTCTATAGCTGCTACGTTTTCAATCGAATAACTTCTACTCGCCCGTTAGATCAGGTGATCAAATCTCGACGCGAATCAGTCCAGGGTATACCGCAACCCACACACTGCCCGACTTCGATTTAAACGGAGCAACGTAATCGTTTCTAATATTCAGAATATCGTTTAGATTAATTGATAATTACCTTCTGTACACATAAAGAGTATGGCAGCAATGGACAGCCTCGCCTGCCACCTCAAAGCCATGTCCGCGACTATTTGATGGCGCGTTCACTTTGATATTAAAGCGATTCACATCCTCTTCATTGGATGACAGCACATCGTCCATCCACTGTCATGCTAGCACCACGCGGCAAATTCCTATCGCGGTCGTGTCGACATTCCACGAAAATGGTGTATACTCTTGACGTCCAATAAACGCCACGAGATTCGGTGACCCGAGGGTCACGCGAGATTAGTTCAATTTCATTCGTTCCGACACCACGGCTCGTTTGCTCGACCAATTCTCCTGACGCCCACTGTTTTCGTCCACGTTTCCCATAGGACGTTTTCGATGATTGCGCGGAAATAAGCCGAAAATAAATACACACACACTCGCCTGGCCGGCGGTCGATGCTAAAGTTTCAACACTACCACTTTTCACTCGTCACGATAGAAAAAAAGAAAACGCGCTTCGGAAACGTTTCGTAGAAATTTTTCCCGTGATCGTATCGCGAAAAAATTTCCAGCCGATTCTTGTTGGGACGCGGCGGTCGAATTATTTCAACGATTCTCGAATATGCGTTGCACGCTTCGATCTGTTTCTGCTTCGATCTACACCTGGCAACTGGACACCAGGCAGCTTCCAATCGGGGGTATCGATTCTTGAAATAGTTCTTTGCCCCGAAAACGCGTCGAGGAAGGAAGATTCCGGCGATTGCCGTGAGTTACGATAAAAGTCGAAAATTCGATGTTTATTCCATGATGAGGAAGCTAGGCCGTGATGTGCTCGCGGACGTAATTCCTTTGAAGAGTTCTCATGCTCCTATTAAACGAGAACGCCATTTATCACTCTATCCACGGGAACGAAGAATGTCGTTAACCATGCTTCACAACGTATCTTCTCGATTTTGCGGCTTTATCGCCGTTTTCGGTGTTAACCGACCGAAAGTTCGATGCACTTGATATCTCCGTGTATCTCGGTCAAAAGCGTCATGAAAACGGCGGAAAGATTCTTCTTGCGAACTGGCCCCGTTTAGGGCCTAAAATAACCGGAGTATAATGTAACGTTCCTTAAAGAATGATCTTAACATCGTCGCACGTGCCTGTTTACGATCGTTTCGCAGCAATATTTCGTTTTTCGACCGATCAAAATTTTACTACACACGATTCACATTGTTCACACGACGAGTAAACGCGAGGGTACGTTCCGACGGCGATTGCCACGCGATTTCTCTTCATTTTCACGAGAGGTTCGATTCGCGAAACGAAATATTAATTTTCTCGAGAAAAATTTCGCGTCTATATGCGCGACATGGTATATAGGACGACGCGACACGCACCACGTCTTGATTCGGTGGCAGATTTACCCTGACTGGGGTGATTCTTGGCCGTAGGAGCATGCGCGCTTCTGATCCACCTCCTGTGATGGTGGAAACGCGCAGAGGGTCCACGAACAAGGTCCGCGCACACGTAAACTTCTCTCGACACACCGAGGTTCGAAACACACGTATGATGCCACGGATGCGAGCGAACCTCACCGACACGATGCTGGGTCAGCGTAGGTGTAGTGTTAAGGGTAGCTCGCGTCGGTCACGACGTACGGCACTGTGTGTCACGGACAGAAAGTGTGGCAGGGCGTGCAACGAGTACAGAATCGAGGTACGAAATCTACGATACTCTTTAGAGGCGCGCGATAGGCTTTGAGATTCAGCTGCGTGTCCATTTCGCCTGTCAGCCTGACCGCCAATCTTACCGGCTACCCACTGCGAGAGATCGCACGTAACCTCGTTGCTTGCTACGTACTTTCCTTCGGTTGATTCCAACGAGGATACATTGCACGCGGATACAACGAGCACCGTCGTCATCGCCATCGGTACCGCTATCATCACCGTCTTCGCCGTTGCAACGATATGCTAATGAGCCTTGTATACGATAATACTGCAATAATAAGGAAAGCGACCTAATTGCGTGGTTGCCGGTTATCGGGATACCACGTCGACATGTGCTACTTCGGACTCGCCTCGTGTTCTTTTCCTCTTTGCCAAGCTGTGAGTTTGAGCGGTGAGCTGAGGCGGAGGTTGATGGTTAGGCGCAACGAAAAGTCTCGATCGAGGTAAACGTTGCTTCGCTCGAAGGACTTCTAGTTAAAGCATTTTTAACGAACTCGCTGCAAGTTTTCCGCTCTCGTCATCGAGATTGATTACTTCGAGTAGCAAAAACGTGAAACATCGTGTTTCTTTCGACAGACGCTTGCGTATTCGACGTATGGTTAAGAAACTTGAAGAGCAGCGTTTCTTAACGTGGCGCTTATAACAGGCTGTTTTTGTTTTCCATCGTATAAATCTGTTTCCATGATTATCGAGCACGCTATCAATGCATGTTATTAGACGAACCACATGTGCGTGATCACGCGAGTGTATAATGACAGGAGGTACACGCGATAACCGCTAGCGATTAGCTGTACTCCACTGTCTATCGGCTATAAGAATAATTTCACGGTGTTACACGATGGATACGCAAGTATCCCGTATATGTTCGTTTCGTTCGTCTATTCGATTGTCGAGTGTTTGTCGCACGATATCAACGTAAGATCGATGAATATTATAATATGTCGGGAAAACGTCACGCACAGAACCTTGTCTGTCGGTAGAGAGGGCTGGGAATTGTGGTAGACGTAAACGCTCGGTAAAGGGGTTCCAATATTATTTCGAAAGCACATTGCAAGATTAAAATCGAAACGAGTTGCACGTTTGTAACGAAAATAGCTATCGCGTAACACGATGAAAAGAATACGAATGACTATGACGAGCGACAAGTTGAAAAATCCGCTCGTAATCCTAATTTTCCGCGTGTCACGTGCAATCAGATATCATTAGTATTCGCGTTTACGACATCGTCGAACATTGGCGCTTACATCTCATGGTCGTAATATTTCGACGACATCGTGAAACAAATGACGTTAGTGGAACTCGTATTACATATACCTGAAGCTTAACAACTATCTAGTAAAGTTTGATGAAATCTACTTTATAATCCTCGGTTTCTGAAATATTTGCAGTGAAATTTTGCGCATATGGGACACTGATATAATAACTTCTACTTTCACGCAATGAATACACGTTCTCCGTTCGTGCAAGCTTGCACGAGTTAAGGACGAGAATTACGATCCAATGTAGGTATAATTCATTTGGATGGATAGCAAATTCCTAAATCATTTCTCAAAGAAAAAAGGTTGACTGAACTTTCGCCAGCGTTTGTACATAACGCGGAGTGGGTGCTCATTGCGTTCCATTGATCCAATTTCACTTTGATCCAATTTCTATTTATCCGTTTAAAAATTCTTCTAAGTGACGCGAGAGCTTGCAAATTAACGAAAGCTGTGGTTTCATGTTTGAAATCTCGTTCCACGGTGCGAACTGCAAGACGCCCATTCAAAAAAAAAATTGCACTGACTAACCATACAAGATTTCAAGCCAAAGTTATAAATAACGTTTTGCGTGACGACCGTGCCTTTGCACACGCGGGACCATTCATCAGCAACGCCTAGCACGTGAACCCACCGATAACGACACCCTACCGGCAGATTCGATCGGTCGATGAAAGGGGCAGCTGTCGAATGTACCGCGAATCAGTCGCCTCGTCTCGATCTCGTGGATCGATCGGCTCGTTTAACAGCCTCGCTCTGTTGTCAGGCACGGGAAATAAATTGAAGATAAACAAAATTATCGGAGCCACTTTTCGCTCTTACTTAAATTTGAAATTGTCGCATAAAAACTCCGACTCGTCCGCGCCTATCCTCCGTCGCATTTTTTTACAATTTGCTCGACGCGTCGAAAGATTCTGCGCGTGCGTAAGGACGAAACGAGCGATACCAGCTACATTTTGCCTGACCTGTTTCCTATTTCCGCCGCACTCCATTTCGTCGGTATTTCGTAACATTGATCGGCACGCCACGCATCGCAAATTAACGCGACGATAAAACGGCGCATAAAAGCGATTACTTGGTAGAAATATGGGCGACGATCTCGCGGAGAGATCGTTTCACAGCGAAGCGGTTACTTTCCGAACGCCTGTAATCGTTCGTAAGAAGACAGCAGCCGCTAATTTCAAGACGTGCGACCGTATCGGGCAACCAACGATTAGAGGCAGTAAAACTCGCGGCTGTGACTCGGGCTGCATAAGTTTCTAGCACGGCACGATAAATCCGCCGATAACGATGTCGGCATGTGTGCACACGAAATTCGAAGGAAGCAAGCAAGAGGCAGATTGGGGGTGTCGAGCTGTATGGCAGCCAAGTAAACGTTTGTCTCCACGTAGAAGGCGTCGACCTCCTTTTTCCGTGACGCGCGATCCCTCGAACACGACTGCAACACGCTAAGATTTCCGATATTTCGAAATTGATGCCGATAACAAGCTCTCGCTAGTCCCCGGCGTCTACCGGGCGTTCTTGTTTCCCTGTTATTTTATCGGTGCCACGCACGAACATTTCCGCACGAAATTGAAAAACACCGCGTTCCACTGAGAGAATACGTCAGCCATGAATTCTTGCTACCCGATAGCTTACGAGTTTCTTTCCGCGTTTGCACATTTCTCCGGGGCGAATTCCAAATTGAAATCCGCTCGAGAGTATCCCCGGCCTGTAGTGTGCTAAACGATTTCATAACTCGCCGTGAGTTCCAAACGGAGCCGCCGTTTGGTCAAGTCGCGTTTATGACCGAAACGAAGGCGCCTTGAGCTACTCGCAGGACTTGGCGAATCCACAGGGAGTTCGTAACGAATGTAAAAGCTGCATCGAACGCGGCCAGTCCGGAACAAAGGTAAACGTGTTTCTGTTTCGAGCGTTATCTCGATAAGATGTGAAATTGGTTTGCTAATAATGGAATTGATTCTGAAACGTTGCACAAGTGTGCCGGAAAATCGTAAATTCTACCTACAAGCGGACTCGTTAATTGCACAGCTCTATAAGCAGACCTATATCTTTAAATAAAATCCATAGAGTTCGTAATGCCGCGCACGATGAAAACATTACATCGTTGTCGCAGCGTTTGTAGCGAGCACGCAAAATACAGTTTATGCGGTGATAAACATTCCTCGAGGAAATTTCTATGAAGCATTGTACCAGTTATCATCGTGGACACCGATATTTGTACTTTATAGTTACGTATCGCTGTAGCTAGGGAGCGAGCGTGTATAGGAAATTTTGTATCCTGGCCGAGATCCAAACGGATTTTTCCACCGAAAATTACAAATGCCTTGAACGTTTGTTTCAGAGGCAAGCGTATTTAGTTTACGATCTTCATCAATACTTATTACCTTTTGTGCAACGTGTCGTGTTGGTAAAATAACAGTCTTATTGTTCACGGCTGGCGTAGCAACTTTATAATAGTTTATAACACAGTCGCAGAAACAATTATAACTTTTCTCTTTCGTGCCGTCTGCCAACGTGCATTCGGTTTATCTTTATCTTTCAACGAGCCATAAGCGTAACGCTAAACACGGTATCTCGTGCAGAGACGTCCCCATCGAATGGCGCCACAGAGTTCTTGTTAATCAATCAAACAAGTTAAAATCAAATAGACCATAGCGAGCGCGTCTCGGTTAATAGCAAAGTTACATTTCGGTAGATTTGTTCCATGCACGTGTATCTATTAGTATGTCGGAGGACGCAACTTCCCGAATGTTGCACGGTCAAAGGACGGCCAATATCGGAGAAGTCGAATCCGGTGAGTTTCGCCGTTTGAATTCTCACAGTCCTTCTCTCGTTTCCTTTCTTGACTGGATGACAATCGAGAAGGGTTACACGGGTATTATACAGCTCGTTACCCAATCAGCAAACTTTACCAGCAGTTTACCTAGAATTCCGCGTAGATTCGCTTCTTTAGATTATCGATCTCCTTTATCACGTCACTGTCCTAATCCGCCGTTACCTCTCCCTTCTCTGTACTTCACCTTGGATTACTCGTATTTTTATGGATCTCTGCGCGATACAAGCATCTTATCCACCATGTATTTTACATCACAAAACGTAAATGGAATTGCGAAGTATACGTATATGTATAGTGGAAGGTTTGGTTCGTAGCAGGATCTGGATATCATCCAAGAATTACCCCGTCATATTGAATTAATCCAGCCTCCGGTTCTCTTTAAACCAAAAAGTTTATCTGCTCGTTAATTTGTATAATCAATTCGTCGTTTGCGTTAAACACGGGAATTGTATTAACCGAGTCGGCCAACTTTTAAGTATCCGAAGTTCGATGGCTTTCGAAAAGCGCGGCTTTTCCGGCAAGATTTTCGTCGGTATGCTGACAGGAACTGGAAACGGAAAACGTTTCAATACGAAACTTCTCGACGTCGGGAAACTCGAGACGGTTCTCTTACCGGAGGAGAACGCGATCAAAATGTAGTCTAGTTTCTACGAAGTTAATAATACACTGGAGTTCGGATAGTGTCAGGCAAACTATACTTTCGTCGTAATTTAAAAAGAAAAACCACGTCCAACGTACAATAAAAAAAGAGGTGAATAGGAAGGCTAAATTATCTGTAACACAGATTATATCGAAGTTTCAAGGTAAGGGTAATGAAAATTCCAGCAACTTTTCTCTGCAACGCCGTGACTCAGAGAGTTATCATTTTTTATATTCATGTTCCCCTAAAAGATA